CTGGTTGCGGGCCGGGGGCGGGCCGGGGAGGGCGACACCCTTGTCACGTCAGGGGGTGGCTGGAATGAGGGGAAAGGGGGGGGGCGAAGAGGAGGTCCTGATTAAAACAGCAACGCGCGCTTGAGTGGTGTCCGAGAGGCTAGCAGACGACTACTGGAGAGCCCTGGAGGGGAGGGGGAGGAGGTACATTGCGCCAGGACCTCATCCGCCGCAGCAGAGGCTGCTGCTGCTGCGGAATGTGGGACGAGGGAGGCGGTATGGCCATAGCACCTCACGCATGGCCCGTCATGCGACGCCCGTTGGAGCGTGCGTGTGAGTGTGTTTGAGCGTGTGTGACTGCGCGCGCGCGCGTGCGCGTGTGAGTGTGTGTAGAGGAGTGTCGGTTTAACTGTGTGTGAGCGAGTGTGTAAGGTTGCCGACGCCACTAAAGACCTCTTTAATGGCATTCCCATGACGTTGTTATCGTCATCACACACTATGAACATGGGCACGGTTGCCGTCACACGCTAAAGAGCCGCCGTCACGTGCAGAACACTGCGTCTCCAACGGCCATTCAGTCCCTGATCAAATGAAAAGCAAGCCAGGGCCGGATTAAATCCTAATCCAGGTCCAGCAGCAGAGGAGGCGCGCGGACTGGTTTGGCGGCGGCGGCGCGTGCGCAGGGTCGGGTTGAGCAAGCGCGGCTGGTCAGTCTGCCCCGCCATAGCCATAGCCAAATGCCAAAGCTCTGCGAGAAATAATTTGTGGGGGTTTATCGCAGGAGAATTTGCCATAATGTTGAGGTAGAATTACACATTTTAATTGTAAAATTACGACACGTAGCGACTTGGCATCTACTCAAGAGCTATAGAGTTTGGCCCTCGCAAATTTACAACACAACGCAGATTTTGGAATCGTAAATAAAAATATGTTGTAAATTAATGAATTTACTTTCTTGGCCACGACGCGGTGCCAGTAGTGGTGGCCTCGCCGGCCGGGCTTTGACTTCAGCTTGAATAAGGGTCATACAAGAGACTCGGGGTTCACGCGCGAAGCGAGGATCTCCCCGAGGCGTAATATCAGCACGACGTTTTACGTGTGGGACAAGGCAACAGCGTCAATTTGGGTATTTGTTATGCTGTACAGTCGCCACCTTTGTGCCAATGAGTGCCGGCATCGTGATCACCTGACATTATATTGCGATTCAGAAAGGAGGGAAAAAAAAGAGCCAACAATCAGCGTCGAGTCTAACGAGCGTTCGTTGCGAACGGCCGTGAGGCGCAAAAGCATTGATTGGGAGGGATAAGTGTGAAGTATACGCTCGTGTGAGTGTTTTTGTGTTTGTGCGGGGCTGCTGCTGCTGTAGGTGCAAGCCGTGATGCTCACCCAGAAGTGCGACGTGAGGTTGACGTTGATGGTGAGGTCGATCTCTTCGGGAGTGGCGTCGCGGAACGAGTGCTCGGTGAGGATGCCGGCGTTGTTGACCAGAATGTCCACCTCGCCCATGTCCTTGGTGACCTGCACGGCAAGGTCTTGGATCTGCAGAATGGAGGGAGTGCGTAAGTGACAGTTCAAACCACAAACCTCACGTTGTCGGAGCTGCGACTCCACAGAATCGTCTCCTGGCGGAACCCTCACCTTTTTCCTGTCGGCCACGTTGCAGACGTACGCCTTGGCCAGGGGCTTGCCGTTGGCCACGACGCCGGCCTTCTCCGCCTCCATGATGATCTCGCGCACCGTCTCGTCGTTGCCAACCTTGTTGACGTCGACGCACGCCACGCGGCAGCCCTGGCGGGCGAACTGCAGCGCCGTCTCCTTGCCGAGGCCGTGGCCGGCGCCGGTGATCTGCGGGGAGGGAGAATAAAAAGAACCGGGTCAGGAAAATAATAAAAACGGTGGTAATGACAACCGGGTCAAGAGGGAGGAGGGGCCAGGGCGACGTCCCGAACTACGTCAGAAGACCCCCGGCGGCTGGACGCACGCACGCCGTGCGAAAGGGTCGTCGGCAGAGGGCATACCGACCGGCCAACGAACGCACAAACGAGATCCGGCTGATTGGTAGATTTAGAAGGGAGGGTACTCTCGAGGATACCTGTATGTCGGTTCTGTCAGACATGGTCCGAGACGCATAAAAAAGAAAACATACCCAACGAGCAACAAAATTCGCAAATTCGCAGCGAAAACTTAATGCTTTTGCAGTGTCGGCCCCACTGCGTCCATTAGTTTGTATAGGCGGGCTCGGTGAAAAAGAGGAGAGCAGAAAACAGGGCGGGGGAAAAAAATTGCAGAGCGGTTTTTCGGTCCACGTCCGTACCCTCCCTCGCCACAGAGCCACCGCGGCGTGGGGTGCGTCCGAATCTGCACGCCAGCAGGCCGCGCAGGCCGAGTGGCAGAGCGTCGCTCCTCGTCCCACACTGGTGGGCGCATAGGCGTGACAGAGAGAGCGAGAGAGAAAGAGCGATGGCGACGCGATACGCAGCCCCCCGCGCACTGTTTCTGTTTCGGAACGTAGCCCAGACAGACCGCAAAGCAGATCAATCCATCAGCTGTCATGAGACAGACCCCCCTCCCCCTCCACCCCCATTTACTCTCACAGGGTCACCCCCTAAAGCTGGGTGCAGGGCCGCCCCGCCCCGGCCCGCCGGAGGGCCCCTCTGGGGCCTCGCGGGATCACCGGGCGATAAATTACCCGCGCGGTGATCGCGACGCACCACGCCGGGGAGTACCACCGGCCGACGAGTACCCCGCCGGGGAAGTACCAGGTGGCCGACCAGTGCGCCGCGCGAGGCGGCACCGGCGGTCACGTGGCCGGCAAATCATCGCCCGGATAATGGCGGGGTGTTTTATTGACTCGACTGTGTACTGCACACACGGCTTTAATGGTGCCAGTCGGAGGCCGGCGGCGGCGTGGGGTCCTCCGGAGCTCCTCGTCGAGACGGAGAGGAGGGAAGGAGAGGCGGTGGTATAGCATGCGTTGGGCGGCGACACGAGAGGGCCGCGGAATATAACGTTTTCATAAAATCCCCGCGCCTGACGCGTCTCGGCGTCCCTCCGTGGAGCAGCACCTCCCCGCCCCGGCCGGTCGGCCCTGCTCGCAGGGTTGCCACATATCGCTCAAATAATAAAATTTTGGGAGACAATAGACTTTTATAGGGGACGGCGGGCGCGCGCGGTGCTGCAAGCGGGTGGAGTGCGCGGGCAAGGGGCGGGGGCGGGCGCGGGGTCGAAGCAAGACAGATGACCGCGAGGGGCGCGCCCGCGCACCGAGGGGAAAGGGAGAGGGAGGGAGGGTCACCACTGATTTACGTAGTGACAGAGAGCTCGCGGCCCACCGAGCGGGGATGTGTTCAAACAAAAACCACCCCCATCACCCACCTACGCCCACTTCGCTTCCTATGTCATTCCTCTCATTCTCTCATATTCGCTATCTTCCTCTCCCATCACTCCTGCCTCTGTCCTGTGTCCTTTCTCCCTCTCTCTCCCCCCTCCCTTCCCATTCCCTTTCTCTCATTTCTCTCCTTTTCCCCCCTCCCACACGCGCGGGGCGTGACAGCGCTCACGCTTGGCAGGTGTGTGACAGTCATGTGACAAGCACGCCCCCAACGCAAAATTTACCACCCCCCCCCCCTCTTCCCGGTCTGGCAATAACCCACTCCCACCAGCTGGCTGTGATTATATAGGAAGACACTCACTCTCCCTTCTGCTGCACGCTTCCCTCCTCCCCCCAAAATTGAAGTATTACAAAAAAAACAAATAATTCGAACATGAAAATATAGACGATAAATTGGTCCAGAAAGCGATGGGGGCGAGAGTGTGGGCGGAGGTGCGCGGGGAGGAGGAAGGGAGTTTGCCCAGCGCGCCACCCGGCCGTGTCGACCAGTAAAACGGGTGCATCTGTGAGTTTGGCGGGCAAACACATAAATATGACTGGCGGCCGGCGGGCGTTACAGTCGATAGCGGGGGTCCAGCGGAAACAGGAATGCATTAAGGGCGAAAGGATGGAGTGGGGAAGAGGCGGACAGACAGACAGACAGACAGTGGCCTGAGTCGGCTTCTGCTTTAGAATTAAATATTTGTCAAGTCTCCCTGGGAAATGAGGTGTAAGTATTTCAAGACTAGCATGAGAAGGAAGCCTATATGTGTGGGTGTGAGGGAGAGAGATAGAACAGTGCAAAAGAGCGGGAACGTGTGAGAGAGCGTGGCGCGCCGAGAATGAGTGAAGGGGGGGGGGAGGGGGAGGGTGTCGCTTTAATTCCAGTCGAGTATGTGAATGTGCACGAACATGTGTGAAGTGGTGACACGGACGGCTCGTGCGAATGTGTGTACATGTATGCATGGGCAGCACGCGTATTTGTTTATACACGGCGCGGCACGCCCGGTTGGCATGTTGGCTGTGTGTGTTGTTCACGGTTTCATTTAATTATTTAAAAAAGAAAAAAAATGAAGAAGAAAAAAATATATATATACAGGGAGCAAGGGGTAAATGGGTGTAGAAAGTGCGCGCGCGCGCATGCGCATGTGTGTGTGTGTGTGTGTGTAATGTAAGTGAGTGGGCTTGAAAGTGAGGGACTGAGGTCGACAGACAGACAGACAGATAGACAGACAGAACGCATCGTGGGTAGATGCAGAGTTCAGCTCAGCTAAAATACCACCTTTACCTTCCCCCTCCCTTTCTTCCCCTCCTCGTCCTCCTCCTCCCCGGTCAACGCCTGCGAAGTGCGGATAGGCAGTCGGGTCGGACACGCCTGCGCGGCGGCGCTGCCTACCCGCCGGGCGCTACCGGGGCCGGTCGGCGGCCGGGCGGCAGCCGCTGGAGCGCTGGCGGCGTGCTCTTTGACACGCGCCCGCCACCTCGACGTGCCCGACGTGGAGGTCGTAACTCATGTGATCCCGCGGGCCGAGGGCCCCGTCCACCGCGGCCCAGCCCAAGGCCGCCGGGACACCCGCGGCCGCCCAGAAGGGAAGGGCCGAGGTCCATGGCCTCCGGCAGCCTGTCCTCGTGGAAAATGCCCATCCGGACGGTGTCAGTGAACCTCGCGCAGGGCGCAGGGCACACGCATGACGAGGATGCACTACGTAACGGCTGCCAGCCGAGGAGTACCTGGTGTGTCAGTAACACGCGCGCCGGTGCGGGCGGGCTTGTCGAGTTCTCACCGGGGCCATGGCGCCTTTACGGTCATAAGGAGTGGGAACTCACTCGCGCCGCCACGTGCGCAAAAAAAAAAACAAGATAATGAGTTGACAGTGTTAAGATTAAAGTTAGAGTTACTAGACAGTTCGAACTTTTAGATTCACGACCTTAAAGACACGTGACCAATAACCACTTACACTGGGTCATATAATATCAAAATTAGGTAAAACTGACGAACATTTCAGCTGCACTGTTTGAACTGTTATTCAACTTTTTTGTCCGACAGTCTAACCCATTAACGACTAGTGCGTTTGGAGGGTATAGGAGGATTTATGGCCGTATGGATAATCTCGTCGTAACTGATTTTATTCAAGTAAACTTTGGCTCGCCAATAGTTATAAGTTATGCCAGCCTAGTTCCACATGCTTACATGTTTGCATCTAAGGGGTAAAACAGCTATTACTAAACTACGCCCGTTTGCGAAAAAAGAAAAATGAAATTACTGCAGAGAAAAACATGACGCAGTTCGAACACAAACTGTACTTGCTGTTTTCGCTGCAACAACCCGGGCATCGAAAAGATCAACAGCTTTACCTCTTTTCCTTACGGCTACCATGGGAAGTCCCGCGCGGCACTTATGCAGCTGGCCACCACACCGACCGCGGCGGACCCGTGCGCGCGCCAAGGAGACAAATGAAAACGAGGAGTTTTTGTGGTTACTTTAGTCGGCGTCGGCCGCAATCAGTAGAGGAGGGGCGTCACAGTGCGGCCAAACAGCGCCCGGGCCGGCCGGGCATGCAAGCGTCAGCAGCAATCCGGGCGGCAGCCAATCAGAAGATCCCCTACTTCCCTCCGGCCAGTCGGGTCGTCAATCACACGACTCATTACGGCCATAGGAGGTCCTGCCCTTACACGGCACCCTGCTACAAAAAATAAAATAAAAAGGAAATCTTGAACTAGGACCTACGTATGAGCCTTTTCACTTTTCCAGGCCTATCAGATAAGAAAAAGGGGCATTTTTTTCACAGTGCGCAGCCGTCCTTTGAGGACGACGAACGAGCCTTTGGTGGCGTAGTCTTGGGAAAGCAGGAATCCCCTTCGCAATCGTGCTTCTCTGCGGATCGAGCCGCGCGCTGCACCTCGCCGCTAAGTGCTGTTGACATGAGCGCGGCGTCGTATTTCTTATTCGCACTCACGAAATCCATCGCGCCCCACTATACCCGTTCGCGATGCGATCCTTTTTCTCTCGCTCTTTCTCCCTCGGAGGCTGTCCGCCAAAGGTCAGCGCGCTGCCCGTGAATCTGCGGCCGGACTCTTACGCTACTCGGCGTTACGTCACAAGGGAAGGGGGCGGGGTACCAGGCGCCGCCGGGGAGAGGCGGCCACGGGTGTCTGGCTGGGAGGCAAGGGTCAGCCTCAGCAGCATGGAAGAGGGTTGGCTTGTTGGCTACAAATTTGTGCAACTTGTGGCTTTTTCTTCAAATGACCATACAGCACTTGCGTTGCTATAACGCACCGCAATTGTATTAGTCAGTTGCTGCACTTACAATTAACATAATTCCACAAAGTGTGTGACATTCGAACACTTAAAAGTAGTTTGTCAAGTTGCACAAACGTACTTGTCAACCAGAAGGGCAACATTACAAGTGAAGGCACATAATTGACGGGTTTGAGACAGCCGATAATTTTTTCTTAGATTTGAAAGTCATGAGGG